TTTGCGTACTCGATTTAGTTGACAGGCGGCCTAGTCGTCACTGCCATGCCGCTGCTGGTTGTTTGAAATACGATCCCGCTGGGTGACTTTATTTGGGGAACCTAAAGAGGCGCAATTATCGGCACTTCTTATCGCTGTTTACATTCTTACGCAAATGCAAATCTTCATCGTAACATGATCAATCGTCGTTCACGGCGGTTGGCCGCACGGTGGTGGCGCGGCGCGGCGTTGGTGGTAGGTGGTTATGATGCGGTGCGTGGTGGCGCTGGCGGTGGCGCGCTGCGCGGTGACGGTGGTGGTGAGTGGGTGGTGGTGGTGGTGTGGTTGGTGGTCGGTGGTCGGTGGGTAGTTGCTGATGTGGCGGCTGTGGCGGCTACCAGTGCTAGATGTCAGGCGTGCGGCGGCGGCTGGTGTCGGTGGCGGTGGCGGTGTCTGCCTGTCAACGTCGGCGGCTGCGGCGGTGCGGTGGCGGTGGTGGCGGCAGTGCAGCCGGTCGGCCGGCGGCCGGGCGGCGGCGGCCGGCGGTCTGGTGGCCGCGTAGCGGCGGTCAGGTGGCGGCGGCGGCCGGCGGCAACGGGATGCAGTGGCGGTGGCGGTAGCGGCGTCGGCGGGTGCGGCGGTGGTGTCGGTGGCGGTCGGCGGTGCGTGTCTGTGTCGACGGTGGCGGTGGCGGCGGCGGTGGCGGTGGAGTATGGGTGATGGGGTAGGTGGTGGTGATTGGTTGGCGGTGGCGGCGGTGGTGCGGTCGGGCGTGGTGGCGGTGGCGGCGGCGGTGGTGGTGGTGATGGTGGTGGTGGTGGCGGTGGCGGCGGTGGTTGCGGTAGTTGCGGTGGCCGTGGTGGCGGTGGCGGCGGCGGCGGTGGTGGTGGTAATGGTGGTGGTGGCGGTGGCGGCGGTGGTTGCGGTAGTTGCGGTGGCCGTGGTGGCGGTGGCGGCGGCGGCGGCGGTGGTTGCGTCAATCACCGGTGTGCGTCGCGTGCGGTGCGGAAAGGGAAACACCGGCACCAGGCCGCCGTGCGCGCCTCTGCCGCTTGACCGCAGCGTGAACCCGGGCGCGGCTACCCACGTAATCGCCTGTTAAGTGCGATTATTGAGCGATTTTTCATGTGTGAGAAAACGTGCCGCTCAACACGCGAGCGCGCGCCTTGAATCGTTTAACCACGTCCGCCGGGCGGCCGGGCAAATTAACGCTGCGCATTCCGCACACCCTCCTCCTCGCCCATCCTCCTTCTCCCCCTCTTCCGTCTCCTCCTCCTCCTCCTCCTGCTCCGTCTCCTCCTCCGTCCCCTCCCTTTCCATCCGGTCGTGACGCGTGTGGCCACAAAAACGGCGCGTGTCCGTTATTGCTAACGGAACCAAACCACCGCTACCTGCTGCTGCTGCTGGGGAGGGGGGGTACGAAAAGCGACATGGGGAGAGAGAGCGAGAGAGAGAACACGCGAGTGTACCGGCGCGCCCGCGATAGAGAGCATGAGACACAGAGAGAGCGAGTGAGAGAGAGAGAGAGAGAGAGAGAGAGTCAGAGATACACAGATAGAGCGAGCGAACGAGAGAGGGAGAGAGAGAGAGAGAGCCAGAGAGAAAGAAGGTGAGAGAGGGGAGGAGGGAGGAAGACAGAGAGATACAGAGGGAGAGCGAGAGAGGGGGAAAGTACTAGATAGATGAAGCGATGGGGAGATATATAGAGTGGATAAACTGGGAGAGGTAAGGGAGAAGGCCTATATAAGAGTTCCGGGGTGGCTATAAAAAAAACGTAGGGAGAGAAAGGCAAGAGAGAGATACACGGAAATCGTACAATAGATAGGCGAAGGAAGATGTATGGAAAAGAAGTATTGGGGATAGTTATGGTGGAAGGGATATAGGTAGACATACGAGGCAGAGGTGCTGGGGGAGATGCATAGGGAAAATCATTAGGGGAAGTTACGGATGAGAGCCACGCGAAGATGGAGAGCACAGGCGGCACTTGAAACGTTTCAATAATAAAATGATAGTAAATAACCACGAAATGTATTTGTTTAAATGACGACGACGACGACGATGTAAACACGAAATGTTTCTTTACACTCTTTTGCCTATTATTAGTAATAACTTAAAATGCCATTCAAATGTTTCTCTACAACACACAAGTATACCACACGAACGCCGCTGTGCACAAACAACAAAAATATAGAGACTATATTTTTTGTTGTTTGTACACAGCGGCGTGAGAGAATAATAGGCGAAAGAGACTAAAGAAACATTAAAACTTTTTTAGTAAATGCATTTCGTGTTTATTTACTATCATTTTATTATTGATGCTTACGTAGAGTATATTGATGGAGGAGTTGTAGCTGTCCGGCATGACGTTCATCAGCAGAAGAATCTCGAAGCCAACGTTCCTCAGCTTCCCCAGCACGGCAAACGGATCGAAGGCGCTCTCGTTCCAGTCCGGGGTCACCATCGGCCAGCCGCCGAACATCGCCATGAAGTCAACAAGTGGCGCCTCCTGCTTTGCGTTGATCGCATCTAAAAATGTCGATTAATTATTAACGATATCGATTACGTGTTCGCGATTATCGATACGCGCGTGCGTCGTATGCGCTGCATTTTGCTTGAAGAAGTGATTTTTCAAAGGAACGCGAATTCAAAGGCTTTTTAACAACGATTGTTCATGTGAAAACTCGAAAAACTTCGTCCTCTACCGATTTCTAGCCGACGCCCGCGGGTTTATATCCCGTGTGGCCACTGTTTGACGGCGACGACGTTGACGATAACATTTTCCGGCCGCATTCGTGCGGCCGTGCGTTTCGACGTTGCGATTAATTGCGGCCGGAAAGTGACGTCACTCTGCATGCGTTCTATTCATCGAATCTGCTGCAAGCGCAGACGATTGGTGTCGCACTCCCGCTCACGTTACTCGCCCAACAATGCGAATCGAACATAGAGAAACTGTTCTCCACTGTTCCCCACTACTCTCATTGTTCGCACGCGCTGTCACACATTCGCTTCTCTGATCTGGTTAAAAGCTGCGGCGGCGGACAAAGCCACTACTTGTTGCGTATATATATATATATATATATTTATTTATTTAATCGGAGGTATTCTACCAGTTCGTGTGCGCAGATAGCGCTTATCTTGCGCGAAACATCAGTCACACGGGAAACACGAGTTAATACTAATAATAGTTAGTATTAATAATATTAATATAATGAGTGATGATTGGAACGGCAGGACTGACTGAAAGCAACACGATAAATAACAAATTTTTTCTTACCCGTGTCCATGCAGGCGGCATACATGTCACGTGACATGTCCGTAGAGTTGCTCCAGTGATCGTTCTCCTCCTCCAACTCCGCTGTGCGCAGACGAAACAAGGGAGGGCACGCGGTGAGCATCGCACAGAGGCACGTGAGCCAATACTTATGCGTATATATATCTATATATATTACGAGAGGGATTATTACAGGGGTAAAAAACATTTCCTCTTCGTACCAATATGCATTATTTATAGAGATTACCGTTAGTCGTACTCCGCTGAGATAGGTATGGTAGCGTAGAATGGAGATTATAATGAAGAGAGCTTCGCTGTTTTACGTCGAAATTAATCTGCTTCATTGTACATTTGGAATTCCCCGCGGAGATATTTAACTCTCGCATGCACCGTAATGGTGAATAGGTACTGCAGACTACGCAGCGTTATTGCATTAGTGACTGCGAACGTATAGAGCGATCAACGACAACGTGTAGCCGAACTATAGAAGCTTAGAGCACGGACACACAGATATATATATATATATATACATGCATAGACATAGACATCGACATACGTGTGAATCAGCAGGCGCACACCACGTACACACTCATACTCACACTCACACTCACCCACACACGCACCCACACACGCACGCACGCACGCACACACGCACGCACGCACGCACGCTCGCTTGCTCGCACGCACGCGCGCGCGCGCACACACACACACACACGCATACACACACACAGTCATACCCCACACGCACACACACACAACCCCACGTCTCTCTCTCTCTCTCTCTCTCTCTCTCTCTCTCTCTCTCACACACACATAATAGACACGCGCACGCGTACATGCAGCATATGAACGGACATCGAATGGAGGAAAACAACGATCATTCGTGCTAGGAACGTGCAATGGGAAACGTCGCTATGTCATCATCGTTATAGCCATCGGCTTGATCACCCGTATGATCATAACTATCATCATCATCATCATCAGCAGCAGCAGCAGCAGCAGCGGCAGCTGTGTTATCATCGCTATCATCATCAACATCATCACCTTCAAGGATACTGGGAAATAAACACATTTCTCGTTAATTAACAATTCAAAGATTTAGCATCTGTATAGTTTGACATTAATCTTTACACCTACAGTCCATCATTCGTATTATCAAGGACCGATAACAATAGAAATGCCCTTGAATTGCCCCCGTTTATCGATGTATTGCACCAAACAAACGTATAATCATGTCGCAAGAAACCGCTGACAGATTATTAGACGAGGCATTGAAGATCAGAGATGTTAGTCGGAGAAAGCTAGAAATAGCAGTTAACACAGACAGCCATGCGCGAAATGAGCTGTTAGTTTCCTTCAAACGTGGAGCGTGGGGGGGGGGACGGTCACCGCATCGCAGCGATGCTGGCGCCATCTACCTTTCAATACTTTCAGCGTATTCTGTTCACTCATCTCTACGATGAGCGAATGGCTGGTCAGGTCATCCGGTATAACCGTCGTCCGTGACCAACCGCCGCAGACGTACTCGTAGAAATCCGAACACGGATCCACATCCGGGTTTATGAATGTCAACAGCCGATTGGCTGAAATATTTCTATAGTACATTAGAATGGGCCTCCGATTATTTTATTATTATTGTCGTTTACAGGAATTCATCGATGCAACCTATTAATTTGGGAGCTTTCCTTGCATCCAGATGGGATCAATCTGGGGTTTATATCTAGAGTCTTACGACTACAGGGTAGAAATCGACTCGTATATTGGCAACCAGTTCCCCGTGACTATCATCACGTCGGAAGTCGCCGTGTAGGAAATGGCGAGGGCGGGCGGCGCAAAACTTTGGTGATGCATTCATAACGACAGTCGGCACGAATCATCATCTTCATCATCATCATCGTCATCGTCATCGTCATCGTCATCGTCATCAACACCATCATCATCAGTATCATCATCCTCATCATCAGTATCATCATCATTATCATTATCATCACCAGCACCAGCACCACCACCACCACCACCATCATCATCATCATCATCATCATCGTCATTATTGTCGCTAACGTTCGCACGAGTTCTTCTTACACACAACGACAAGTGCAGCATACACGCACATACTAAACCCACGATTACATAGCAAAGCACGATCGCTACTATAATAACTGGCTCCAACGTAACAAAAATCCGAAGTGAGGAAAAACGCAATCTAATCTCGAGGCACACCTGCTCCAAGACACTACTATAGTCCTCTAGTCTCGTGATTGCTACGGTGTACGGCACGGACGCACGCACGCACTCATTCACTCACGCACGCACTCACTCATGCGCGCACGCACGCACTCGCCCATGCACGCACGCACACACGCACGAAGACACGCACGCACGAACGCACGCTCGTACTCACGCACAAACAATTAAATGCATACACGCGCGTGCGCACACAACTACACTCGCCCGAACACATGAATGCGCTAGTGCAAACACGAACACATACAGATCTACGAACAAACGCACGTACGCACGCACGTACGCACAGACACACACAGAACCAGGCACATACGCACGCACGCACGTACAGACACACACAGAACCAGGCACATACGCACGCACGCACGCACGAGCGTGCCATGCCCAACGTGCCACCGGAATCGATACAGCTTCTACGGTAGCGACGAAAGCGACTACACTAATCTGGCGGGACGAGTGCGAGACAATTATATTCACTCTTTAAATCCTTCTCCAGCTGCAATTTTAAGCCGCTAAACGTTGAATAAATAAAATCCTCCTCGGGAATGATGTTGTCCTTTAACCAACCACCGCACGCATACTCATAGAAATTCTCGCACGGGTCTTGCATTGGGTCCATATTCCTCAAGAGCTGGTCGGCTGAAAGACGCACACAATTCGTGCAAGATTACATATAGAGGGCATTGTACGTGCGGAGGGGGATGTAATGTTGGTGCAATAGGAAACGGCAAAAATTCTTTTAAACAAGGTGGAACGCAGAAAGTTTAGGGTGGGTTATATAAACAGGCCCACGCACACGCACACACACGCACACACACGCACACACACGCACGCACACACGCACACACGCACACACGCACACACGCACA